ACATTGCAGAAATAAAAGTCAGTGAACTTACTGACAAGACATTAGAAACTAAAAAGAAACAGTTTTCAAAAAAATCTATTTGGAATAAATTAAGCATGAGTGAGTTGTAGAATAACTTAAATAGCCTTATATTATTTGAAATTGGGGTCTCTGAAGGAGAGGACAGGAAGGGTATGCACGATATTCATTTTAAAAAGTAATGGCCAGGGCTAGGGATGTGGCTTAGTGATTGAGTAGTTGGCCTCACATGTGTGAGGCCCTGGGTTTGATCCCCAACACCAGAGGGGGAAAAAAAAGACCAAACTTGATATAATTGGTGTACACACAGATTCACGAAGTTTAAAGTCCAAGCAGAAGAAACATAAAACTTCATCAAGGCACATTGTAACAAACCAGTGATAAAGAAAAATTGTAAAAGCAATCAGAAGAAAAATACAAGTGAGAAAAAGGGAACAAATGCAAGAATGACAGCAAGGTAATGAACAACCTTGGAACTTAAAACGTTCTTACGATACATGGAGTTGAAGGGCTTAAAGTAATTTTACAGAAGATCTTTTAAAATGGCAATTTGGGAATGAGGTAAAAACAAATCTGCTACCTAGGATGGACTGAGAATGTTAAAGAATCAAGAATGTTTTATAAAACATTATAAAATACCTCTTCAGATTACCGGTGACCTGCACAATAAAGTAACTCAAAAAGTACCAACATGAACTGCTTATGTGTAAAGGAAAACTTGGGCAGAGACTATCCTTTGGCATAAGTACTGGAGAAAAAAATAAAAATAATTTGTATTTTTCACATTTTTCTTGGAAAATCACTATTCAAATCGATTTTATAAGTTTACGTTTACTAATAAAAACACAGTACTCAAAAAATGATGAGATATATTGTGTTTATGTAATGAATCACGGAAGCAAAACTTGAAAGGCTCAGGTTGTTTCCAAGTAAGCCAGCTACAGCCCTGAACAGAACTCAAGATTTTAGTTATATTTTCTGTTATGATAAAATGTAAAGACTTAGGTTGCATCCTCTATGAGGTAGAAATATTCTATAAAAAAATGTAAGCAAACTTAATAAAACGGTACAGAAGGAAAAAAATTATAAAATAATGGCAGAATTCTTACTGGAAATCGAACTATTATTTCTCATGAACACAGACATAAAATTTTTTCATGTCAAATTTAACAACATATTAAGCAGATAAGGCATCATGATGAAGTGAGTTTATCCTAGGTATGGGGGGTTGATTTAACATTTGAAAGTAAAATAACTAAAAAAGAAAAGCCACGTGACTGCTTCAGTGAACACAAAATCCTTTAACAAAAATCTCAGCATCTAAAGAGAATAGAAGAAAATTCCTCAACCTTACAAAAAAAAAAAAAAA